CATAATAACTTTAATTTCTGGATGTTTGGCCCCTCAGCTGTTTACCTGCAGTAACTGTGGTCCCCGGAGCAGTTTAGTTGAAAAGCCCTGATTTAGTTTGGTTTACATCATTTTAATGTTGTTTCTTGTTATTTTTTGGTTCCAGCACACACAGGCAGCACATGTCTCCACTGCTGTCCTCCCTGTCTTGTTTGGTGGTCTACCTCCGCCGGCAGCAGCACTCATCGTTCCTCTCTTTGACCCGGTCTCCTCACTCGGCCGAGGCCTGGCGCCTGCTCTGCCACTCCAGCCTCTCCCTGCTCATCCTCTACAACCGACACCGAGAGTGCGAGGTGGCTAAGCTCACCATCCAGGACTACCGCAGCCGCGTCCCCCCGCAGTCCAGCTCAAGCACCAGCCCCCCATCTGGCATGGAAGCCTTCCTGTCTCCTTTCGAACGCCAGGTCCTGTGCCACCTCCCACGGGCGGGCGTCTTAGGCAAGCGCGGCCGCGTTCAGCCGCTCATTCTCCCGCCGCAGTGTGAGTCCTGCCTGGACCTGCTGCTCCAGACCAGCCCCAGCGTCGGCGTGGATCCCGAGAGCCCCTACGTCTTCTCCCGGCCCTACCACTCCCCGGCCACGCCCCTCCGCGGCACGGACCTGCTGAGGAACTTGGCTCGCGCCAGCGGGGCCAAGAACCCCGTGTCTCTGACGGCGACACGAGTGCGACGGCAGGTGGCCATCCTCACCCAGCTGCTGCTGCTGGACGAGGGCGAGGGCCAGGGGGCGGCCGTCAAACGGCTGGAGGACTTCCTGGAGCGGGAGTACCACGTGACCCAGAACTGCTCCACGATCATACGAGATCCGGCGCTGATGGGTCGCGTAGGTCGCGTCGTTCTGTACGGAGAGAGGGAGGGGGTGCTGTTCAGGGGCATGAGCCTGCAGGACATTTGCCTCGAGTTAGATGGTAAGAAAGAGCTTCAAACTTTTTGTTTGTCTTCATCTTTACAGTACAAACCAGTTGGACCCTTTAGACCATTTAAACTGCATTTTACACATTATTCCAATCATTCACATTTGTAATTCTAATAAAAGACTTTCTGATCAAATGTAGCCTCTGCATCGAGAGATTCTGATAAACAGTGTCTTTTCTGTAAAATGTAAAGAAATCTGATATTTTGTTTTTAATTTTAACTTTTCAGTAGCATAAACGTGATTATTTTGTTGCTGTTTGTAGCTAATGCTAACATATTACGTTTGAATCACTATTTGAAGTATTTTTTTAATCTTGTTTGTAAATCCACACTTGTATCTTCAACATAAAGTGCAGTCTAGATTGTTTAAGTTTCTCAGAGAGCAACACATACAGTATATAAACATTATTTATTATTTATTTACATGGATTTTACTGAGAAGTATCTGTATTATAAAAAAAATCCCCTCAGCTGAACAGACTACTTATTTAAAGC